CACCAGTCCGGTGACATCGTAGACAAGTACGCCCGGGACATGGGTATGTTCGACATGTCCAGTCTGACGGTGGACGAGTTGGGCGCCCTGGGCAAGATGGTGTGTGGCATAGCCGCGGACATGATCGCCACCATGGACGCTCGCACTGTCAGGTGAGGACTAGGCTACTCGTGTGTCCTGTTAGTCTTCTCGCTTGTTTGAGATCGTTTTCTTTTCTCCTGAGTTTGTTTTGTTTTGTTTTTGAGTTCAACACCTTATGCGTCACTGAAAAATAAAACACATTTCGGTGTAGATTATACTGAAAAACGTTGATTAAAAGAACAAAATGTGTAAAATTTCAGATTCCAAAGGCTCTTAAGCTATGGAAGTCACCAATCTTTGGCGGCCATTTCCTTGCGAATGTTGCACTTGAAACCAGGTGACCCCAACCTCCTTTATTAACAAATATCGTCTTCTTTTTAAGATTTGGTTTTAGTAGAGGTTTTACGGCGCTCGCAACTGCATAAGGTCATAAAAGCGCCAGAAGATTAGAGGTGTTACAAGAGAGTAACAAACATAAAAAAGAAGAAGGAGAGATATGGACGATATATGTTTGATGGGAAAGAAGGAGCAAACCACACCAGAGCACCCGCCAACCATCCACAAGATATTTAAGATAGATCGGTATTTTCTTCCTGGAAAGCAAGGCAAATGAACAAGCTTTAAGGTAGAATCAGTAACTCTAAATGCCCCAAAATTGATGAACGCCTGATTCCACCGCGTCTTGACACACATTTCCCTTGACAGTGAAGCCGCCCGGCACCTGAAAGAGGCGGAATGTCTGGACACTGACCAACTGGAGGAGTTTGGCAAGAAACTGGAGGAGGACCTGGGCCGTGATTGGTCCCACTTCACACCAGACAAGATTGAGGAGCTCGGAGTTCTCATGGGTGAGAGGGGTGGATTGAGAGAGTGAGAGAGAGAGAGAGAGAGAGAGAGAGAGAGAGAGAGGGGGGGGGGGGTGAAATGAGAGAGAAATATCGAAAGAGAGACAAAGACAGACGGATAGAAATGAAAGAGAGGATAGAGAAAAAGGAAAAGGAAATGAGAGAAAGACACACTTACCTATACACACATACACACACACACACATATTCACACACACAAAGAAAGGGGGAGAGAGAGAGGAAGAGAGAGAGAGAGAGAGAGAGAGAGAGAGAGAGAGAGAGGGGGGGGGCAAAGGAAGAGTGTGTGGAGGTGGAGAAGGAGCGAGAGAAAAGAGAAAAGGTTGTATAGATAAAGGGAGACAGACGACAGACAGGTAAATAAACAGTCAAAAAGAGGCACAGAGAGGCAAAGACACCTGAAAAAAAGTAAAAGAAAAGAAAAATAGTCCGATAGAGTAGAAGTGATGTTGGGAGGGAAGGTATG